GAGGGCTGAGTCTGCTATGAGCCTGGACTGAAAAAGAAAGATAGCTAGCAGATTGAGCCTGGGAGCAGGCCAATAAGCAGTCTTCCATGGTCTCTGCTTCGGTTTCTGCCCTCACTTCTCTCAAGGTTGTTCTGTGACCTGGGGGCTGTAAGATGAAATAAACTCCTTCCCTAGTTGTTTTTTCATGATGATTAACAGAGCAACAGAAAAGCAAGCTAGCATAATGACATATCCATAAAGCAGGGCAAGACTTAGCACGCAGAGCTGGAAGATGTTTTGCTAAATGAAACATGATAAGTCACTCATTTTAAAATTGTGGGATGTGCAGGGCATGATGGCACACACCTATAATAACAGGCATTCAGGAGGAATCTCTGTGAGTTCAAGACCAGCCTCATCTACATTTTGAGTTCTGGGTGAGCAGAGTGAGATCCCATCTCAAAACAACAACAACAACAAATAAAAAAAAAAAGAGGGAAATACCAGGCTGAGGACTTAAGCCTTCACAAGTTGGCAGTCCCTCTTTTTTTTTTTTCTTTCGAGACAGGGTTTCTCTGTGGCTTTGGAGCTAGCTCTTGTAGACCAGGCTGGCCTCGAACTCAGAGATCCGCCTGCCTCTACCACCACCACCCAGCTTGGCAGTCCCTCTTGAGGATATTTCAAGACTCTGACAGAAACAACCTAAGTGCCTATCCACTAACTGATGAATAGATGTGGTATACACACACACACACATATATATATATATATATACATATACATGAATGTTGAAACGCTGTTGCCATAAAAAAAGAGTGAAATCTGGTCATTTATGACAGCTTTACCAGAACTATAGCTCACTGTGCTAAGTGAAATAAGTAAGGCACAGAAAGACTGTGTGATTTCCCTCAGAAGTATACTCTAAAAAACTTGGTCTCCACCAGGCAGTGGAGGAAACTTTTTTTTTTTTAAAGATTTATTTATTTATTATATATACAACATTCCGTCCATGTATGCTTGTGTGCCAGAAGAGGGCACCAGATCTCATTACAGATGGTTGTGAGCCACCATGTGGTTGCTGGGAATTGAACTCAGGACCTCTGGAAGAGCAGTCAGTGCTCTTAACCACTGAGCCATCTCTCCAGCCCCTGGAGGAAACTTTTAATCCCAGCACTCGGGAGGCAGAGACAGGCCGATTTCTGTAAGTTAGAGGCCAGCCTGGTCTACAGAGTGAGTTCCAGGACAGCCAGGGCTACACGGAGAAACCTTCTCAAAAAACAAACAAAGACAAAGGTTGACTTCTGGCTGGAAGTATAACTTAGTGGTAGAGTGCTTGCCTACCACGTGTAATGTCCTATGTTTAATCACAGCACCACAAAGTAGGTAAATCGAAGATAGTTAAACTCATGGGAGTTAAGATAGGAATGGTCGTTATGGAGGCCAGGGACAGTGAAGAGGGTGTCTTAGGGTTTCTGTTGCCTTCTGACTGCTGGGATTAAAGGTGTGCAACACTACCACCAAGTCAAATTTTGTTTTTATGTATGAATTAAAAATTAAAGGAGCTGGGCCATGGTGGCACACGCCTTTAATCCCAGTACTCGGGAGGCAGAGGCAGGTGGATCTCTGAGTTCGAGGCCAGTCTGGTCTACAGAGTTAGTTCCAGGACAGGCCCCAAAGCTACAGAGAAACCCTGTGTTGAAAAATAAAACAAAAACAAACAAACAAAAAACTGGAAAAAAATTAGACACTGAGTTTTAAAGAATGTAAAGATAGTTTTTCCTCATTTGTATTCTATTTTTTTTCTTTTCTTTTTCTTTTTGATACAAGTCTTAGCTCAGAGCTAGCTTTGGACTCAAGATCCTCCTGCCTCAGCATCTTTTTTTATTTCATTTATTTTATTTATTTATTTATTAAAGATTTCTGCCTTCTCCCCGCCACCGCCTCCCATTTCCCTCCCCCTCCCTGCCTCAGCATCTTAAGTGCATACCACTACACTTATTTTCTGCTACTTGATAACATTTTCTAGATGATACCAATGGAATATTGGAATGCTCAGAATGCATATAAACATACTTTTTTCTAGTAAACAAAGCATTTCTTAACACTAATATTCTATACCTTTTCTTCAAAAAATCTGCTTTCTAGTCTTCTAAGAGTCTCCTGATGATTTTTCTCTGAGTTTCTTAAATTTTCTTTCAGCTAAAAAGAGAGAAAAAAAAATGGTTCAAAGATTGAATGGGACATATTCAGAGAAAATCATGAAGATACATTGTATATCATATATTCTTGAAGCATAAACACAGAATCAAATGTCATCTCCTCTGATCACATTTTCCTTAACTATCTATAGATTTACCAGATTGGATTGAGTTTCTTTTTTTTTTTTTTTTTTTTTTGGTTTTTCGAGACAGGGTTTCTCTGTGGTCTCTGTGGTTTTGGAGCCTGTCCTGGAACTAGCTCTTGTAGACCAGGCTGGCCTCGAACTCACAGAGATCTGCCTGCCTCTGCCTCCCAAGTGCTGGGATTAAAGGCGTGCGCCACCACCGCCTGGCTTGGATTGAGTTTCTTAAAGACTTTCCATGAGTAACCATTCCCAGGGCATTCAGATATTTTCTCTTAAGATATACGAAATTCGGAGTCACAAAATACATAGTCTGCAACTATAGAGATGATAACTGCTCAGCAGTTAAAGCACTTCCAAGCAAGAGAAGCAGCTCAGAGCCCTAGAATTCCTGTGCATGACGGGTGCTGGGCCACCATTCTGGGTTTGATTGAGAGACTGCCTCAAAGAATAAGGTGAAAGAATGATTGAGGAAGATTCCCTCCCACCTGAGGCCTCCACATACATGTACACACACTAACATAATACACACATGCATAAGAAAAAGGGGAAAAAGGAGTAATACAATTATCTCAGGCCCAGTGTGGTGGCACACGCCTTTAATTCCAGCACTTGGGAGGCAGAGGCAGGTGGATCTCTGTAAATTATACTTGGTCTACAGAGCAAGTTCCAGGACAGACAGAGAAACCCTGTCACAACAAAAACAAAACAAAGAATCAAAAAAAAATCCCCATAAAAATATTATTCTGGATGTGTCTATGAAGGTTTTTTTTAGGAAGGTTCAGTGACTGGTGAGATATCTAAGTGATTACGAGCATTTAATGTTTTTCCAGAGGTTTGGTTTCTAACACCCATGTTTGGTGACTTACAATTGCCTATAATTCCAGCTATTAGCAATCTGACGTCTTCTTTTGGCCTCTATGGGCATACAAACACAGATATACTTAATACACACACGTGCACACACAAAATCTTTTAAAAATAGAAAGGTTCGCCTCAAGAGAAGAACCACCCCAAATGTGGGCAGCACTATTCACTAGTTTTGGGTCCAGGATTGAATGTGAGAAGAAAGCAAATGGAGTACCAGCATTTCTCATTCTTTGCTTCTAACTGTGGGTGTGACCAGCTGCTTCGCATTTTTGAGGCCATTACATCCCCAGCATGATGAACTGCACTCAAATTGTAAGCCAAATGTTGCTTTTGTCACAAGTCTTCTTCACAAGGAGAAAAGTACCCAATACATGTAAGATTTAAACAATACAAGTAAAGCATTTAGCACAATAAACATTTAATGGCGTAATGTTATCTTCACCTATTATAATTTGCCCTAATATACTAAATCTCCATTTTATTATTTCTTTCAGATGTTCTTTCTTACTGTTTGTATTTGAGTTTTGAAATGGCTTATTTTGTCACACTTTCAAAATTAATGTTAATATGCCAGTTAATGTCTAGAGATGGAGCTCTGATACATCATAAGACTCCCCAAAATCCATATATCAATAAAAATCTTTCAAAAGATAATTAGTGGGGTCAACAAAATGGCCTAATGGGTAAAGGTACCAAGGAGTCACACAGTGGAAGAAACTGACTCCCAATTCTATTCTGACTTCTACACACAGATAAACAAAAGTTATGGTGAAAATTAGTAGCTGAGCATAGTGACAAACACTTGTAAACCCAGCAGTTGTAAGTCTGAGGCAAAAATCCCAAATTCAAGGCCTGCCTGGAGGGGGCTGGAGAGATGGCTCAGTGGTTAAGAGCATTGCCTGCTCTTCCAAAGGTCCTGAGTTCAATTCCCAGGAACCACATAGTGGCTCACAACCATCTGTAATGAGATCTGGTGCCCTCTTCTGGCCTACAGACATACACACAGACAGAATATTGTATACATAATAAATAAATATTTTTTTTTTAAAGGAAAACTTTGGCCGGGCGGTGGTGGCGCACGCCTTTAATCCCAGCACTCGGGAGGCAGAGGCAGGCGGATCTCTGTGAGTTTGAGACCAGCCTGGTCTACAAGAGCTAGTTCCAGGACAGGCTCCAAAACCACAGAGAAACCCTGTTTCAAAAAAAAAAAAAAAAAAAAAAGGCCTGCCTGGAATATGTAATGAGTTGTAGATCAGTCTGAGACACAGAGACTGTCTCAAAACCCCAAACAAAGAGCGACTGAGATGACACAGGAGGAAAAGGGTAAGGGCGTCTGTCACACAGGCTGGCAACTTCCTAAGTTAGTTTTATAAGTAAAAGTGGCTAGAGGTGACTCCACAAAGTTGTCTCTGACCTCCCTTATTGCACAAAGGCAGAAGCATTCATACACACACCATACTTACACAACAAAACACTCATTTCACTTTCAGTGTCTTCTTTAAAATACATGACTTGAATTCCTTTTCCTAAGTTAAATGTCTTCAGACTCTTACAAGTCTATACAAATAAAAATCTCTTACCTAACATAGACATTGCAATTTTAAGTATGTGGGCACCTCACCTCTGCTTCATTTCTTTCACATTTGAGATTCCACAGAACTGCCCTGGTTTTTTTTCCAGTAACGCAATAACTTTGCCCTTGAATTTTAAGTGTTCCTAAACAGCCCTCTGAGGAATGCCTAAAACCTACTTCTCCAATAGGTGGCGACATTGTTCTTTTAAAAAGAAAAACCACATCAGGACACTAGAGTATGAACTAGTTATTAATTTATTTTAACTTAGAATGTATAGCTATACACAGGATGGCAGTCTGAGAGTTCCACAAGTCAACTGTACTGATTTAATCTGCAGCATTGTTACATAAAACAAAACTTGGATACTCTTCCTGGAAAATTTAATATTCCTTCAATGTTGGTTGGTTTTTGAGGTGACCAAAACAAAAAGTACTTTGAGATCTGACAAGTATGGAAAACCTAAGTGACGGTAATTAGACTCCATCAGGGTCTTCTGGGGTGTTGGAAGCACCACGCTCTGCTGTTTGATACTTCTCCAGTTTAGCAATCAATTCTTTCGCGGGATTGAAGACCCCATAGGTCTGCTGCTCACAAACATAGCAGCGTGGAGTGGTACGGTAATGCTGCAGGGCACAGGCCTCGCAGAAATAATGCTTACACTTGGTGACAACTGGATTTCGGAAGGTTTGGCGACAGATGAAACATTTGAATGGTATTTCGTCATCATCACTTTCTACTTCGTAGTTTTCATCTTCATATACACCATAACGGCCCTCATCAAGCTCACGTTCTATCTGCCACCCGTGCTTGTAATCTGAACGGTCATGGAGGAATTTGCAGCTGTCTCCAAAGCCACAGAAGCCGGTTTCCTTGTAGTCCTTACAGATGTCAGGCTGGTAATCCCAGCGCACGGTGGCACGTAGATGTTCAGGAGCTCGGATGGGGCCTTTTCTCACCATACCGGAGGAGGCATTGCCCATGGACGTGTCCTTGGGCTTCATGTATTTCTGATAATTATTAATTCCACGATAGATCTTGTCATCCTCCTTGCCTCTCAACTCCTCCTGGATTTTTTGGCTGCGCTCAAAGATGGCCTGTGCGTCTTTCTCCTTTTCTGTGTCCAGTTCGTAGACAGCTGTCGCCCCCATATCTTCCGGCCCCACCGGTTTCGCCGAGCGCGTGGACTTGTAGACTACGCCCAGACTCTCATTCTCGGTCTTCTCCTCCTCTTCGCTGCTCAGATCACAGTAGGCCGCCTTCTGTTTACCACTGCCACTCGTCTTCTGAATCATTGGATTGTGGGTGGCCCGCTTTTTCTCTGGTCTCACCACTGCGCAGCTCTCCTCGCTACTGCTTCCGCTTTCCCCAGAGTCGGGGTCGCACACTGGCCGCTTCCGGCGGCCAGCACTCCCTTTCCGCCCGGGCTTTTTGAAGAGGAAAGAGCACACCTGGTCCGCCGACTTTCCCTGAGAAATTTGCTCTGCCATCTTCGACTTCCGAGCGCTGAAACGGCTAGCAGTATCTACGGGATGCTGGGTGGCGCGGGATACTACGTCATTCGCAGCTACGTCACTACAGAGCCGCAGTCTGTCGGTCGCTGGGGCCGAGAACGTCAGAGCGCATGCACCAGCCAGCAAAGGTTTAAGAAAAAGATGCCCTCAGTCTTTAGTTAAATGCTGTTGTGCTTCTTGTTTTGCAATGAATACAAAATTTCCGGCTCAAAGAATTTACAATCTAGTAGGGAAGATAAGGTAAATCAAGATGTGTTCTGTATCAAATCCCATGGGAAGACATAAAGAATCTTAAACAGGACTCTAGGGGAAGGCCTGGGGAGAAAGTGCATTTAAGGTAAGCCTTTGAAGGCTAGGAGAAATTTTAATGGATAGAGATCTATCAGAAATCTATTAAAATAAAATATTCTGAACAAAGCAAGAAAGACAGAACTGGTGTGTAGTTGATAGATTGCTTCTCAAGCATGCCCAAGGCACTGACTTCAAGCACAAATAAAGGAGAAGACTTGAAAGTTATGTGAATATCCAATTTGGATAAATTAATGGATAAAAGACCATGTATTGGTATAAGTGTATTGTTATAAAAGATTAAAATTTAATTTAAGATGGGCATGGTGGTGTACACTTTTGATCTCAGCACTTGCAAGACAGAGGTCAGTAGACCTCTGTGAGTTCCAGTCTGGCCTGGTCTACAAAATGGATTTCCAGGACAGCCAGAGCTGTTACAAAGAGAAACCCTGTCTCGAAAAACAAAAACAGGCAGGGCAGTGGTGGCACATGCCTTTAATCCCAACACATGGGAGGCAGAGGCAGGTGGAGCTCTGTGAGTTTGAGGCCAGCCTGGTTTACCAGGCTAGTTCCAGGACAGACTCCAAAGATACAGAGAAACCTTGTCTCAAAAAACAAAAAAAAAAAAAAAACAAAAAAAAAAGGAAAGAAGAATAGAAACAAAATTAAAATTAGATAGGTGTACAGTCTTAACTTACATATTAGGCTGCTTAGACAATATGCTCTTTACAGCTGAGAAATATAGATTCTTGAGGGAAGTGATCAGATCATCAGATCTGATATTTTAAAGATTCCTAATGGAATTGAGGCATTCCTGTAATCCCAACACATAGGAGGCAGAGGCAAGATCAGCTCAGAGCCACCCTGGGCTACATGAGACCCTTCTCAAAATAAAATTAAGGTGGGGCTTACAGAGATGATTCAAAGATTAATAGCATGTATTGCTCTTGCAGAAGATCCGAGTTCAGTTCCCAATACCAACATAAGTTGGCTAACAACTACCTATAACTCCAGCTCCAAAGGCTCCAAAACTCTTCTAGCCTCTTTGGGTACATGCACACATGTGCACACACCCAACACCTATACACATAACTAAAAATAAAATCTGAGGGAAAAAAGTGAAAACAAAATAATTTGGGAGGCTTATGCCTGTAATCCTAGTACCTGAGAGGTTGAGGCAGGGATGTTGTAACAAGCATGAGGCCAGTCTGGGTATACAGAAAGTTCCAGGCCAGCCTTTATATAACAAGATTGTGGGGGCTGGAGAGATGGCTCAGTGGTTAAGAGCATTGCCTGCTCTTCCAAAGGTCCTGAGTTCAATTCCCAGCAACCACATGGTGGCTCACAACCATCTGTAAAGACGTCTGGCGCCCTCAACTGGCCTTCAGGCATACAGACAGAATATTGTATACATAATAAATAAATAAATATTAAAAAAAAAGATTGTGTCTCAAGCAACCTAAACAGTGCTGCTACTGCTGTGTATACTTAGGGTTATAAGGGTGTATGGTGGTTACAGTTCTTTGACACTATCTTCAAGTGATGGAACCTGGTTTCCACCCCTAAAATGTGGACCTGATTTAGAGACTCTCCAGAAATGTTGCTATACCACTGGAAACGATGTTATGAGGAAAGCTGCTGGGCTAGGGTCCAGGTCAATAGTGGAGTGCTTTCAACACACACACACACACACACACACGAAGATAGCTTCTTCACAGCTCTTGAATTATTCACTCTCAATGTTACCCACCAACATATAACTAGGACACTCAAGCAGCTTACCGAGTGTCCAGGTGAATGATGCTGAGGCCTACCGTCTGTCACTGACAACACCTGCACAGCCATATGAATGTGCCAATTTGGAAGCAAATTCTTAAGCTTTAATCAAGCATTCAGATGATTCTATCCCTAGGTATACCATGGAAATCAGAAAATAGCATAAAACAGGCCTTTCAGGAAACTTCAGTGTTCCTCACCTCATTCAACCCTACCCATACAGCCTTCTTTTTTTTTTTTGTTTTTTTTTTGTTTTTTTTTTTGTTTTTTGTTTTTTCGAGACAGGGTTTCTCTGTGGCTTTGGAGCCTGTCCTGGAACTAGCTCTCTAGACCAGGCTGGTCTCGAACTCACAGAGATCCGCCTACCTCTGCCTCCCGAGTGCTGGGATTAAAGGCGTGCGCCACCATCGCCCGGCTCCATACAGCCTTCTTATTTTTCCTAAAATGTCTCTCATCCTAAATACATTTTCCTGTGGAACTCTCCTACTGACAATTCCTAAGGACATATATGTAGTTTTACTACTAATATGATAGGTGTCTTGGCTGAGATTTGCCAAGTTCACAAATCAATGCCTAGAAAGAAAAAAACTTTGTCAGGCAGGTGAACGGACTCAGCAGATAAGGGTGTTTGCCACCAAGCCTGACCATCTGAGTTGACCTCTGAAACCTACGTGGTAGAAGGAAAGGACTGACTACAAGATGACCTCCTCTCACCTCCACACAGATACACTCCACACACAAACACACATATAGAAAATAGACATACAGATAACATAAAAATATATACAACAGATGAAATATTTTCCTTTCTTTTCTCTAAAATATCATGATTTTTCTCAGGAATAAATGTGAGAACTTTTCTGGGGGGCATTAAGTTGTTAATCCAATCTTCTTAATGAGAGACAGTTCACTGAACTTACTGCTTTTTCAGTGACAGGTTTAGTTCCCAGCACCAACGTGGTGGCTCACAACTTTCAGTCAGTCTAGTTCCAGGGTATCCAGCATCCTTTTCTGGCCTCCTCCAGCCCCAGTAATACATGCAGCATACTTAAATTCATACAGGCAAATATGCACATACATAAATCCTTTTTTTAAAAGAAGAAGAAACAAAGAAATTTACCTCATCTAATTCTTTTTCCACTTGGATTTTTCTCTTCTGGAATTGTTTTATTGTCTTTAACTCTGTCTGAATCATGCCAATTTCTTTGGCTTTTTGATAAAACTGTCCCTCCAACTCATTTATTTGCATAGTATACTTTTGTTCCTGTATCCAAAAAAAAAAAAAGGAAATGAGTTAAGAAAAACAAATGTTCCACAGAACCATGCTTTATCTGAGGCCTGAGCCATTATGTATCTTCTCAAAAGAACTGTTCCACCTCTATTTTGCATAAAGCTATAATTTTTGCACAAAATTTTAATTTCTGTAAAATAATGCCAGTGGACCTTAAATAAGAAAAAAAATTCAGGAATCTGTTTTTTTGTTTGTTTGTTTGTTTGATTTTTGAGACAGGGTTTCTCTGTAGCTTTGAAGCCTGTCCTGGAACTAGTTCTTGTAGACCAGGCTGGCCTTGAACTCACAAAGATCCACCTGCCTCTGCCTCCCAAGTGCTGGGATTAAAGGTGTGTGCCACCGCGCCAGGCGTTTTTTGGTTTTTGTCTATGTAGCTCAGAAAGTAGAATGTGTGGTTAGTATGTGAAACCCTGGTTCAGACCCCAGAAGAAAGTAAAACCCAAATCAAATAAGACACCTCTAAAATTCAAAGCTTCTGGGTTTGGTTGGCAAGACAATCTTACAGAAAGGAATTTCATATTATATTTAAGACAGGGTCTTCCCACTTGTTTCCCTTCAACTTCCTTAGCCTCCCATTACTGTGCCCTTGAACTATGTAGCCTAGGCTAGTTTTGAACTCTCAGCAATCCTCCTGCCTCAGCCTCCTGAATGCTAGAATTGCAGAATGAGCCACCACACCTGGTTTTCACCTAGTTTTAAAAAAAGCAGTAGTGTTGAATTAAAGAAGTGTCATGCATGAAATCCTGGGTTCGATCCTCAACACCACACGGAGGAAATATTTTTGCAGTTTTGATCAGAGACCTTTATTGATATGTATTAGGAGAGAAACCACCTGCCCTCAAAAAGTTTTACATTATTTTGAACTCTTCTAGCAATCTACAGGTGGTGATATTAGTGTTCTGAGATTGTTACTGTAGTAAGCCCTAAGTAATAAGGTAATTATACTGATATCATTTAGAAGTCTCTGTAAGGGATAAAGGTGTATCATACATCAAAATAAAAATCTTGTGAGTCTGGGTGTGTAACATTAGGTATAACATCTGCCAGCATGAAGAAACCCCTGGGTTTGATCTTTAGCACACAACCCAGCCCGATATTCTTGCATCTGTACTCCAAGTATTATTATTCATTTTGGAACTTGGTATCCGTGTTTTTTGAGAGAAGATCTTGCTATGTTGCCCACGACACTGACCTTGAGAACATCTAAACTCCTAAACTCAAGTAGAACTCCCACTTCAGCCTTTGAAGTAGCTGGTGTGTGCCACATACCCCTATAAGATGCTACTTTTGGACATTTGTATATACAAGTACATGAGTTTTATATTTGTTCATTTCTTGTTTTGTTTTTGTTAAAGATCTGGGGGTCAATGCTTCTGAACCCCCCTTTTCATTCTTTTTAATTTTTTTTGGGGGGGAGGTTTGAGTCGGGGTTTCTGTGTCTAACAGTCTTGACTGTGCTAGGATTAAAGGCAGGCATACACTACTTCCTTCCAGCTTCACTTATTGGGCCTAAAATAACCAAACTCACCAGAAATCTGGTTCCCTAATAAGTAAACTATTAGTATATGTAGATACTTACCAATTTTTCCTTCTCTTCTTTGGCTTTTTCCTTTGTTTCAACTAATTGCTGTTTCAGTTTTTCTATCTGTAGAAGACAAAATGCAAGAGTAAGGTGACACAGAATTGCTTTGTGTCCTATTTCTATTCATAAGCTTTATTAATTTATGTAATAGTAAAGACAGTAAGCCAGGAAAGACAGTGAAGAAGGAAGGGACAGGGATTTTCTCGTATACTTAATCTGTTATTGACATTTCCGAGATCTAGCTACCATCAGAATTACGTGGATAATTTTTTTGTTGTTATAAAATACACAACATTGGGCTGGAGAAATGACTCAGTGACTCAGAGTGTTTACTGCCCTTGCAGCGGACCCAAGCCTAATTCCTAGCACCCACATAGCAGCTCACAACTGCTTATAACTCCAGTACCAGGATCTGCTATCTTCTGGCCTCCGTACAGACTCCTGCATGGATATGATGCTTAGGCACACACAGATACACATAAAAACCACAACGTTGAATTTACTCTGGCAACCTCTTCTTTTTAAATACGGTTTTTCGAGATAGGATTTCACTGTATAGTGCTGGCTGTCCTAGATCTCACTGTGTAGACCAGGATGCCCTCACATTCAGAGATTCACCTGCCTCTGTCTCGTGAGTATTGGGAGTAAATGCATGTGCCGCCACCACCAGGCTCTGTCAACCATTTTTAAGTGCTCTCAGGTAAGTAAGTGGTTCTTGTTCTTGTTGTTACCTAAAAGGTCTTTAGAATTTTTCATTTTGCAGTTCTCCTTTTCCTCTCCTCTTTGCCTTTTCTTCTCCTCTTTTCCTCTCCTCATTTTACCTTGTTTCTTAAATCTGAATCCCTTATGTATTTCAAATGACTTGAATCATACAGCATTTGACCACATGTTACTGGTTCATATCATGTAACATAATGTCCCTGAGGTTTACTATACTGTAGCATGTTACATGGTTTTCTTAAGACTATCCAATTGTCTATAAATATGTAAACATTATCTTTTTCTCTTTGGGGAGGAGTGATGGGTAGAGAAAGGGTTCTGCTATGTATACATGACTGACCTGGAACTGGATATGTAGACTAGGCTAGCCGCAAACACGGAGATCTACCTGTCTCCCAGGAGAGCTGATTAAAATGTGTGCAGCCACGCCCAGCCTCACTTTATTTTCTCTATCCATCTATTTTTTAATAGAATTTTAAATTGTCAGTTGTTTTTTCAAATGTTTTAAAAATTATGTGTTGTGTCTGAATATGACCACCTTTGTATGGGTGTCACTGGTGGTCAAGAAGCATCAGATATCCCTGAAGCTGGAGTTCTAAGCAGTTGTGAGCTGTCTGATGTGGGTGCTGGAAATCAAATTTAGGTCCTCTGAAAGAATAGCACACACTCTTACCTGCTAAGCCATCACTCCAGTGGTATTTTTAAGCTGCTTTCATCTCTGTTGATGTAGATAATGCTACAAGAAAGAAAAAGCTAATGATAGCAAAGCTATTCTGAAATAACAGCTTGCTTCAAGTGGAGTTAAGTGTAGATGGAAGTTGTCTTGCAAGCCACTCCCAAGTTAATCACACAGAGGCTTAATATGAATTATAAATGCTCAGTCAACAGTTCAGGCTTGTTATTAACTAACTCATACATAAATTAACCCATATTTCTTTCTTTCTTTTTTTTTTTTTTTGGTTTTTCGAGACAGGGTTTCTCTGTGTCTGTGGAGCCTGTCTTGGAACTAGCTCTGTAGACCAGGCTGGTCTCGAACTCACAGAGATCCACCTGCCTCTGCCTCCCGAGTGCTGGGATTAAAGGCGTGTGCCACCATCGCCCGGCTTTTTTGGATTTTCGAGACAGGGTTTCTCTGTAGCTTTGGTGCCTGTCCTGGAACTAGCTCTTGTAGACCAGATTGGCCTCGAACTCACAGAGATCCGCCTGCCTCTGCCTCCTGAGTGCTGGGATTAAAGGCGTGTGCCACCACCGCCCATATTTCTTATCTACCCTCTGCCGCGTGACTCAGGGCTTATTACCTCATTTTCTACACATCCTGCTTCTTCTGTGTCTTCTGGCATCTCCTTTGACCTCACCCTTCTTCATCCCTGCATCCTTAGTTTGGTTTTCCCACCTATACTCCTGCCTGGCTACTAGCCAGTCAGCTTTTTATAAATCAATCTGAGTGACGAATCTTTACAGTGTACAAAAGGATTATTCCATAGCAGTTAAGGGCTAACTACAGTGCCCTAACCATGTGATGAGATTTCAAGGTCTTACCATCTTTAAAAAGAAAAAAACAGCCCAGCATTTGAAGGCAGAGGCAGATAGGTGTCTGTAAGTTTGAGGACAGCCAAGGCTACATAGAAAGACTCTGTCTCAAAGAAATAGAAAACAAAACTTTAAAAAATATAACCATGTCACATAAACACAGAGGGAAGTTATGGGGTTCACAGTTTTCTACCTACCTACCATATTATCTTTCTCCTGATCCTGCTTCTTCAAGTAGCTTAATACAGACATAGTGTCTTTTTCCAATTTATAGTGCTGTTTCTTTAAGTCTTCATTATTTTTTGCCAGTCTTCGGGAAGTATCACGATACTCAATCCTAGAGAGTTCTGTGACTTCCAATCTGGCCTCCCAAAGAGAGGCATTGGCCTTGGCTTGCTCAATCACTTGGTCCTCTGCTTTCACTACTTTCCTACAGAAGATGATAGTGAGAATACGTGACTTTCTTTACCTTATCAGCACCATTTCTCTTCTGTTGTGCTTGGCACTGCCTGGCACATAAAAGCATTCCCGTTGGGTGAATGCATTAATGAGAAATACACATCCATTTGTGTTCATATAAGAGAAGAGGAATGCTCTGGGGTGTGACTTTAGAGGACTAGAACAACAAAGAGGCAATAAGACACCAAATGCATCTCATAAAGCTCTATGCCTTCTCATTTACTTCATTCTTCCGTATTTCTTCAATTATTTTTTGCTGTGCTGGGTATCAGACCTGATCTCAAGCATGCTAGGGAAATACTCTACAGTTCCAGATCCTAATCTTTTCTACTAGTTCACTCAGTTGTGAACCTTGGCTCACTCCCCCCACTATGGCTACATTTCTACATGAGGATACATTTGTATGTCTGTAGTCTCCACACCCACTCCATCCCCAGTTTTTGTTATTGTTATTTTGTTTTGGCTAGTTCATGCACAAATGATCAAATTATTTGAACAAGTATTTTAAATATTTTACTTGCTGGTACCACAGTAAACCAGGTTTTAAGGGAAAACACACACCATAATCATTAATGTTGAGAGAAAAAAGAAATTTAAGTAAGGCCCTAGGGATGAAGACTGGTAACAGCAGAACCATGAAAAACAGTAAGAGTGGATTCAAAGCTTTAAGTGATAAA